TTCTTTACAAACCGAATTTTTAGTTGGAGTCTTCCTACTGGTCTGCTTTGGAAGCACAAAGCAGCGTTTTCTGCTACCCATTGGGAGAGCAGGGTTTATCTTCAACTTTGGGCTCCACTAAGAATCTGTTGTTCAGGCATCAAATCCCTTTTTTGAAGGGGAGAAGGACATCTACCCTTATGCATAGTATTCAGTGTAGTCATCTGGAAACATGGAAGATAAGAGCTTGAGCTGAGAAGTCAGTCTTGCAGTGGCAGACTATCTGGTCAATTCTGCTTGCAGTGGACACTGATATGAAAGTGTAACCTGAGTTCCCAGCTTGGTATGTCTCCCAGGACTCCCTACTGTAGCCATCAAAAATATAGTGTGATGGATCTGGCTCCTGATAGATTAGCTGTGTGGCAGGACATTTCCCTTGCACAGGCATTACGAATTCCTTCCAACAACAGACGATCAGCATGGATATTTCCAAGATGAGAACGACCATCTGTTCTTGAGTGTGCACCTCCACGTCACAGGGTGTGATCCGTGTAATGATCCCAGCAGCATGATTCTTGCCCTATCATAGCATATTCCCTGTAGATCAGATGTCCTGGACTTCCCATCATTCTTTCCAAGGAATTTGCTTTCATAGAGCCTTTCCAGCCAGAAAAATATAAACTGTTTCTGCTCGTGGTGTCTATATCAGGGTCTCTGGGCTGGAAATGGAACTGAATGCTCCCACAGTGGCACACAAACTGGCTTCAGCACCACCAACTGAACTGTTGTGGAAGCAGAGCAGTGCAGGTTTATCAGGTCAGAGGCTTCTTATTTTTCTGAGGGATGGTGCCCTTCACTCTTAAGTCACCAGGTTGCAGGTGGAGGAGTGCTGGTCATCACCCTCACAGGTAGAAGTGACCCTTCTGACAGGTGGGGTTTGGATGCTTGCTCCTCACACTGAGGTGATGTGTCCCCATGAACAGAGGAATAAATGTACCACTACAAGCTCTTCTGGAAAGGTCTAGATCTGAATTTCAGCCTCTCTGTTCATTTCAAATTCACTTATTCAGCAAAGGTTTCCTACCTGTTAATTGTGATATGAAAAAGATAAGCAGAAGAATACTTCTTTTTTTAATCTAAATTTCTGTTTCCTCCTCCACCTCTTCTCATCTGAAGCCTAAATCAGTATTTAGCAGCATTTTAAACTTCACAAACATTCTGCAGCTTCCTTTCAGTGACACGATAACTGCTGACCACTTAATTACAGGGTGATGAGTATGCTGTGGTGTGGCTGAGTAATTACAGGGCGTCTGTGGTTTATCATAACAGGGTTATTCCTCTCCCCTGGACAGCAGTACAGGTTACCCTTTGGGATCTCTTAAAGTTAATTGCATGCTAATCCACAGCAGCTTGCTAATATTCTATTGTTAAGTATCTGGACTCTTGAGGCCTACCAAGTTATTTTTATTGATACAGTACTGGACAAGCTAAATGGCTGTGCAATTTATGGAGTGTTTTCAGACTTTCTGTGCTTGGAGTTCCCATGTATTGCCCAGTCCTTAACACAAGCACAGTGTCCTCTGTCCCCAGCATCACAGGACTGTCTTGCATTGCTCCCTGTACCCCCTGGGAGAAGCCTGGACCACGGTGCAGCAAGTATTACTCTTGTCAGTACAATTTATTATCAATACTCAGTCTTGCTGGTCCTCAGATGTTAATTCTCCACTTAGTTTTGGAGCACGCTCAGATAGCCCTCTGAGGGACCCAAGTGTGTTTGGGGAGAATAATGAATGTTTGCAGTGAGCAAACATCTTAACTATGTTCTTGGGCAACTTGAAGTCCATGTGAGTATAGGCCCAGTTTTCACAGCTGTTTATTAAGGCTTTTTTCCTTCTTAACCATCCTGCAAATGTACAGTTCAGTGAGAGCCATCTTGTCTTGAGGTGTTACTGCTATGAGGATATTTTAAATTAGATGTTTTTGTCTGTTCATCTTTTAAAACAGGTAAAATACATTATAGAGAAAAAAACAGTCACAAAGTCACTGTGAATTAAGTAAGTGTAGGACTTTGCCTTTTGTCCAATGATAAGAAAAAAATCCACCACAAAATTTGTGACAGTGATCCCACAGACTACTCACCCTACTGGTAGCACCTAAATCTAACTAAATTGTTTCTTTCTGTCTCCTTCATCTGAATGTCAACGTTTGGGGGACTTGAGTGTAAGGTCCATGCACTGCTTGACTCTTCAGCAAGCCCTACTTTGTACAGCTGAGTGGTCCCAATCTGGGTGATGGGATCCAACCTGGATCCCATTCAGGTGTGCTACAGCTGAGATGAAGAGTGTGAAAATGAAACATTTTTGTAATCTCTTTCATGCATTTTCCCTTTTTCCCTTCCTCAACTCTTCCTTGCTCACTGCCTTTCTCTGTTGGACAGCCTTCTGTCATACATACAGTAGTTAGGTATTTGAACATCTCCAAACTACTGGTCCAGTCTCCTTTGGGATCAGCAAAGAAGAGCCTAACTTTTAGCCTTTAAGTACAAGAAAAAACATAATACTGCCAAGTAATGCATTAAAGAGGCCAGGAGATATTGTTTCCTTAACATTGACAAGTACATTAGGAAGAATGGATTCTATCTTAAAAGTCCAACATCTTTAGAAAGCACATTTGGATTGAAGTTTTCCAAAAAGCATGCCCCCACTTCTTGAGAGTTTCACATCAGTTCAAGGTGCTCAGCTCCGTGCCATGGCCAAGGGAGGATGTGTGCAGTTCAGTTCAGAGAGAAGGTTGATGATGTGAGAAAATTAATATCCAGGGGAAGCAGAGAGTGGCTCTCTATTTGATGTGTTCAGTTGTGGGTGATACAGAAGCAATGTCTGTAGCCTGAAACGATGATAGAGAAGTGTTGAGTGGCCATGGACATCAGATGCAGGAGCATAGGCTGGGGTAACACTTCTTCTGTCTGTAAAGCTACCAGTAGGTTTGTAGGCACAGGCAGGCACATGCATTCCAGGTGCTGCAATGGATTCTCTCCTGCTCAGGGAACCTGTAGCTAAGATGCAGTGAGCCAGCCCCATGGGGCTGGGGAGCCTAAAGAAACTGCAGTTGTGATCTGAGAGGGACAGTGGGTAGGCTAAACTTCCTCAGGTCCTCCCACCACCTCTGTTTGCACAGGCATTTCTGAGTTTGCAAAAAAAACCCCGTGAAAATGTTTTGCATTGCATCCATTTGTAGCTGTAGATGTTGCAGCAAATCCTGGAACAGGGAGGAAATATGGCAGTATAGGCAGTATGAAGATATCAAATGGATCAATACTGTAGATATATAGATGAAATTTAACGTATCTCTACACACATTTGTCATAGTGTCAGGTAAAACAGGGTGTGTAATGGTAGCATGCCTTAGGAAAAGGTCAAGGCTAGATGTGATAACCAGGAGGTCTAAGATGAGTGTATTCTGTCCAGTTCTCTGCTGCCCACAACATAGTGTCCATGTCACTGCAACTTGTACAAAATGACTGTGAAAGGGATGGTGGAGTTTGCCATTCCTTTCACACAAATGTGAGATATGAAACAGAGGGCAGCCAGGTTTTGTGGCCTTTAATTTATACAAATTTTTTTTAAACCCCAATCCTTTAAAACCCAACTCCTGCTCTCCCTGCTCTCTCTACCCCCCAAACATCAGCATTGATTTGAAGAGAAGAACCTGCTTTAGAAAACGTGTTTACATGTTCCATGATGATTAGTACTAATTTCCCCCCACCTAAATTTTGAGCAGCATGGCAAAAGAGAGCCAATACTTCTGTGCAGCAAAAAGCAGTTCCTATGAAAAAATGTAGTGAATAAATCTTGACATCTCCAAGCTGCAAATAATCTTGTGTGTATGGTGATTGGGAACAGCAGAGCTCACTTTTTTTGTATAACGGTAAGTATGGTGAACTTCAATGTTTATGTACGAAAACCTATATTTAGTTGATGCCTGCACCAGGAAAATTACTAAAATGCAGGATCCCTGTTTTGGATAACTGTGCTGTTGATTCATTGGCTAAACTACTTCACTTAGCACTATCTCTGCAAGATGAACTGCAATCTCACTTGTCATGAGTATGAATCTGAAAGCAGATGCTCCAATTTGTGCTTTTTTTCAGAATGATTGTTGTTTCTAAAACAATGCAGAACCACAGCAGAAGTGAAATTTGGAAGATCACAGTCTTGAGGGAAACTTTCAGTGCAATTTGCACTTTTAGATCTGCGAGGGATTCGTTGCCTTGCCTGGGCGACTAATCACTTGCAGCAGCAGTGGTTCAGCTGCAGATGTGTGCTGCCCAGAGCTGAGCTCGCACAACCCACACACCATCAGGTGATTTACAGGCGATGCTGCCAGATGACGCTCTTCATCCCAGACCAGACTTGAGGTCGCGGACGGAAGAATTGTGCTGGCAGGCCTCAGGGCCCTGTGCAAGCGCCTGCACATGTGTCTGCCCAGTGCTCTTCTTCGGTGCACTGGCCCCCAGGCAGAGCGGGGCATGTGAAACCATGCAGGGCGTATTTTGCCTCTAGAAAGTATATGAAAGGTTTTTACCAGGTTCATGCAGTCGATATGTGTTTTGACCTGTCAGGAGTTGTTTCAGAACAAGTGTACCTTTTTTTTTTTTCTTTTTTCTTTTTGTTTTGTTGGGTTTTTTTGTTTGTTTTTGTTTTTTTTCTGACTAAACTGTGAATTCCACATCAGGTACTAACAAACATGGCTCATCTCAAAAGAATTCATAATTAACTGAAAGAATTCATAATTAACTTCCACTGCAATTTGTTTGGGTCTTTCTTTACATAAGGTATAAGCTCTGGTGGGAATTTGAAATGCTCTGAAGCATACACTGTCTTCTGTGTAACTGCTGCTGAGCCTACAGAAAAGCTAACCTGCTGTAACTGCACAGTGTGTGTGTTTGTATATTAGAGATCTCTGACAGACCTGTTTTTCTTTTTCTCTTTCTCTTCCTTGTCTTCTTTCTGCATTGGCAGAGCATCTTGGATTTGAATTAAAGGGTATGGAACAACCATTCATTTATTAATCAGAAGCCATTAAGAGCTGCCCACATTATATTTATGGCTTTAATGGGATGATTAAAAAATCAGCTGTTCTGTTCTCTTCTCTGGCACCAAGATAGATATTTGGATTGAAAACAAAACAAAACAAAACAAAGCAAAACACAAAATTTAAATGTAAACCTATAAAAATGCATGTGTATTTTTAGCAGCACTTTTTTCTTTGTTTCAAACAGCAGCCTGGTGTGTGTGGCGTGACTGGGATGTTACAATTGCCATACGTCTCCTCATTTAACATGCGTTTGTGTATTTAACTGAAAAGCTGGAGTTTGTGTCCATCCAAAAGGTTGCCAGCAGGCACCACTTGGGAAGGCATTCCAGGAACAGGAAGGCAAGTTTTATGAAGATCAGAGCTTTTGTAGAAATCGCACTAACCTCCACTGGATCCTACGAAGGGTCAGAACGAGCTTTGCCATCCCTCCTCCCAAAGGTTAGCGGCATATTTCAGTTGCTGACTGGGAGGAAATTGTTCCAAGAAAAGTGGCATGAGATCCGTCAGTCTAAGAAAACAGTGAGCCCAGGGAAGTCAGTAGTCTTCCATGAGAGTGGAGGGTGTAATGTTGAGCATCATGGTGGCAAGCTGAAGTTTGGAAAAACACTGCAGTAACTTAAATGCTTTTAAAAATATCCCCTTTGGGCAATTACCTGCTCCTGCCCAGTTGCTCATAATCTTATTATTTTTCTTCCATTCTCCTCAGTCTGTTTTTAGAAACATATCAAGTATCTCTTGAATAAGCATCTGGGAAATCAGATCCTTGAGGCTAGGTTTCCCTTGAGTTTACAGGCCAACTGCAGGGAGGGCTTGGCCAGATGAGAGCAGAGAGATTGGTCTTTATCCCTTAAGAACATTGACGCAGCAGTTCCAGCTAGAGCAGATCTTCACATGAAGATGCTTCAATTCCATTTGCTAGATGTACGGGGACACCAGTCTTTCACTTCTGGATCCTAAAATGTCTTCTCTGGTCCCTGAGGTAGAGGGATGTGCACTAACTGAAGCTGAAGAAACTTGTCTTCTCCGGTTTTTGCATGCCTGATCCCCTGGGATTGGTGTGTATCCCCAAGCAGTTCTTCCCTGCTGCAGAAACTGTGCATTTTGTGGTCAGGTGTTTCAGAGAAAGTGGTGCTGCTAATGCTAATACACTTAAATAAACTTTAAAATTGAGGATTTTTGACATCCCTTTTTTGTTGACCTTTTGTCCTTTTCCTCATCCATTCTTAATGTCATCACAGAACCGCACACATCCCGTTTCCAGTCTGCAGTCGTCTCTTCTCTGTCATTCGTCTTTCACTTTCATGCGTTGCTGTGACACCCATGGCTGGACTGTGATTCTGTCGGCATTATGTGGCACCACATGGTTTGTTCATAGTGTTTGCTGCTGTAGAGTGACGATGCTGCTGATGAAGACCTGGTGTTTGTAGAACATAGAGACACAAATGGACAAGTCCTGCTCCAGGATCTTACCTTCTCAAATACAAAACTGTAGTGTGCATTCTCTTCTTTTCTATCTGTCACTGTTGAGATGGTTTTGTGCAACTTGAAGTCGCTGTGTTATCAAGTATCAACTTTAATGAGATGTTAGGAGCCAAGCCAAATTACTATCAGCAGGTCATTTAATTTTTAGTTTTGCAGCAGTGATGCACAGCCTCACACTTCACTGCTTCATGTAGCCGAGCTGTCAGCTCAAGACGGAGAGGCTAAATCTGCATTTCTGATGAACTGAAACATTCCCCATGCAATTCAGGTGAAGGTTAAGAACAGTCAGACATGCCAGAGTCAGGGTCCCATACTGACATGATCACCAGAACAGAAGATGTAATTTGAGCCTTAGGAGAAGAATTTTGTCCTATAGGTAATAAGTTAAAAAAAAAAAAAAGCCATACTTTTTATGGCTTTGTTCTTTCTCCCTCCTCCATGATTCAAAGGAAAAAAAGTCTTTGTAGCCAAAAACATAGCTGGTGAAGTATCTTCACAAAAATTGGCTGGGTCCATGGTGAAAACTGACCGCCTGCCCAGCGGTTTTTTTTGGTAAAAGTAGTTTTTGCTGAGTGGTAGGAAAATTCTCGCCCAGTGCTATCCGTAACCAGGACATGATCCTAGCTGGTTTTCCTGATTCTGATAAAATCTCTGAAACTCTGGTCTGAAGGAAAAAGCTGTACAGCTGAATTTAGGTCCCAGAGGTGTACAAGAGCAAGAAAACTTGTCTGCCATGGTTGCTGATGCCTGCAATGGGGCATCTGTGCAAGGGACACACACCACTCAAGGAGGTGTTTCACCCCAGAGCGAGTTCTTTCCCCATGCCATCTCCACTTGGTTCCTTGTAGTAAAACACTAGGAGTGTAAGGTCAGCCAGCACCCAAACGCCCCTCTGTGAGCAGGTCACAGGCTGTACAGCCTCTGGCTCTGAGGAGTTGGAGCCAACTGTGAAGCTGCTGCAGCACAGTAAATTTCAGCCTGAGTGAGATCCGTGACCCGTCATTCCCAGTCCACAGCACTGTGGAGATGGAATCTGGGAGAGTCTCAGTCGCTCACCTCTCTAGTGAATGGTGAGACATTGTCTTCCTGGCAACTCCACCGGCATCCTGAGCACCTCATGAAGCCAAAGGCCAGTGCACAGACAAAACGGATGGATATGTATTCCTTTAAACTGTAGTTTTGCAGCACAGTCATGAAGCAAACTCTGCTGATGATGTTTTTCATCTTCATGCCAGGGCTGTCATTACTCAGCCCTTGTTTAGCAAGTCTTCATTCCCATTTTGAGAGTTAGAAAGAGATAAATTTTTCCTATCACTTTTTTTTCTTCCAAAAATTTCTTTTCCTTCCTAAAATGACAAGCTGAAATTGGCTTTATTCAGACAATTTTATTCAGTTATCTGAAATGTTTCATTGCTTCCCCCTTGCTTTTTTGCTAAAGTCCCAGAGGTTTCCAGGACCAGAGCTGTTTCTCTTCTCATTTTGTTTCTCGTTATTTGGTAGCACTGGGGATATCATATATTCCATTCAAGGTATTTAGTGTGGCATCGGGAACCATGCTGAGCACAGCAACCATAGCATGAGTTTTATTGCCTCATGAAAAAAATATTTCCATTAATATTAAAGAAGGCACAAACCCCAGTAACCCCATCAACACATAGTATGGGGCCATGAGGACATCGTTTGTAGATGCTGAACTAAAAGGCTCATGGAAGCTGAACACTGAGTCTCTCTCAGTCAAAGGTCAGTGGAGATTGCTGGATGTCACCGAGAAGAGCATCTGCTCTGGTGTGGCCACAGAGGAAGAGGTGTCATTGTTGTGCTATTGCTGCCTAGGTATAGTTGAGTTACACTGCAAGCAATATGCTAACATTTCCTTGGAGCTTTGATTGATGTGAATTCATTACCTCACTTCCAGCATGGTCTGGGTTTTGATGCAAGTGACTGATTTTTCTGGTTTGAAAGGTGGTCCATGACAAATGGTGATATCTGAGAGAAGCAGCAGCGTGCTGCTTTAATTTTGTGTGTGCATCTGCGTTACCTGGTGCAATGGAATTAATCGCTTCCTAGGGTTTCATTAAAAATCCATAACTGTAATTGGTTACTGTATTTACTCCACTCCCTTTTCTTTGTCTAATGCACTATCACTATTCCATCCTCATTCTGCCTTTTGACTGTTTTAGGATGTCCCTTTCAGCACCTACATGCTTTGGGGCCTGTTGCTCGGTGGTTTCTAGCACACTGCTGAGCTCCAGGGCATGCAGCCGCTGCAAGGAAAAGGCATTCTGAGTCCATCAGAACAGAGAGCCTGTGATGAGAGCATCACAAGGCATACGTGTACTTGGTGAGTGGGGGATGCTTGGGGAATTCCTTGGTAGGCTGCTAAGTTACCAAGAATGGGGGATCTGCTGGAAGGGAGAGGAGAGTTGTGGGGCTTTTTGAGATTAGTCTCCAAGTGATGCTGCGGGAAAAGAAGAGAAAGCGAGAAACACGTTTGAGTGCAGAAGGGGTGAGGTACTGAGCAAGAGAGGGCAAAGGTGCAGAGAAACAAAAGGAGTGAAGGTCTCCTGAGGGGTGAGTAAGGCTGGGCCAGCTGGTCTCAGGTTTGGGGCAGCTGTTAGAGACAGGCATTGGATTGGTAGGAGGTCTGACCCAGCCCTGTTTTCCACCTTACACACACACAGTGCTGGTTCCTGTGCAGCCAGACGCATCCCCGGTGCTGGACCCCATTTGTAACTGGTTTGTTTCTCTCCATTTGCAGAAGCAGAAGAGCTCTACCAGAAGAGAGTTTTAACCATCACGGGAATCTGTGTTGCCTTGCTTGTGGTGGGCATCGTCTGTGTGGTAGCTTACTGTAAAACCAAGTGAGTATGGGTGGTTAACAGACAACAACTGGCCAGAGGTTACTAAGTGGCAGTGCTCATGCTTCCATGCTCTTCACCCAAATGCTGTTTTGAAGAGATGTTGTACTGTGGTATTCCCAGGAAGGTGTCATGAAGGAGGCCAGTGAAGCCATCTACCATGCTGTGCCTGAGCAGGATGTTTTCCTGGAACCATTTGTTTATCTGCTGAATCAGAATCATTTTGCCCAGCCAGGTGATGCTGTGTTACTTGAAAAAGGTGGCCCCTAAGCCAGCAGCTCATCTCCTGACAGCAGAAGCACACTGTGGATACAGCTAGGTACATTTCAGGGACTTTCAGAGCAATCTTGATGGAACAAGAGACTTGGGGACCTCTTTTATGGCCAGCCTTCCCTGCCTGGACAGCACCTTTTCCCTGCACCTCACCTCAGTTCAGGGTGCCCTAGGACAGGGGGTGTCTTGTGGAGTGGATGCCCTTCCACGGGCATGTGCAGACTTTGTCATTTTGTGCTTAATGCAGGACAAGTCAAGTGCCCTGCCATGAGAACCAAGCCAGGACCTGCTTCCTCTTTCCATCTCCCCGTTTTTCTCCTCTGCCCCCAGCACCATGGTGACTCTGGCTCCACTGCATCGTGCTGGGCCTTGTCTTGCAAAAGGGAACACTGGACCCAGCTTCCCAAATTACCCATGATGTGAAATGTTCACCTTTTTTTGAAAAAGCAGCAGAAGGTGGCAAATGTTGAATGCCTTGTTTCTTCCTATTTGCAGCTTTTCACAAACACCATTGCAACATCAAGTGTGTCTGAGACATGTCTTCTCTATCATCTGCAACCCCCAGGTGTCTCTGGGGCCAAAGAGCCCCATGAGATAAGTCTTCCTAATAGATTTTTTTTGCTTTCTGTTTTAAAGGAAACAAAGAAAACAAATGCATAATCACTTACGGCAGAACATGTGCCCTGCCCATCAGAACAGAAGCCTTGCAAACGGGCCAAGCCATCCGCGTTTGGATCCTGAGGAAATCCAAATGGCCGATGTAAGACCTTTTGTCTCCATCTCCCTGCATGTTACTGAGTGCCTATTTTCCACTGAGGATTTGACATGGATGTCTATGCTTACACACCTGTGTGCATGTGCGTGAGGAGCAAAACATTAACAATTTTGAACAAAAAGATGAGATTCTGCATAGAAACATTTCCAGAACCGACATCTGAAGGCAAATAGATTTTATTTTGAAGCACAGGATGAGATTAGGGCACAGGCTTATTTTGAAGAATCCATTTTCCTGTAAGAGAGATGTTTCCAGTTTACTAAGCCACTCCTCGAAGCCCCACTTCACAGCAAGACCAGTGCAATCAGCACAGTGGTGCCCAGAGTCGCCGCAGTGACCATGCTGTGCTGAAGCATGTCATGGTGAACTGGTCAGCACCACTTTAACCCACCTGCCTGTGCCAAGAGTTGCATCCTGGGCAAGGTGGGATGTCCTGGTGGAGTGCCAGTGTCACACCAGTGGGAATGATCTAAGAATTTAGGACGAGATCCAGGAGGGCAGTTCAGCCGCTCTCATGACTTCAGTCACATGAGTTTCCCCATCAAACTCCATAAACTCAATAGCATGGATCATCAACATGCCTTGGACCAAGACATTTTGAAAGGGGTCAGAAAAAGGGAGGGGGAAGCAGAGCCAAACAAAAGAGAAATACTGATGGAAATGAGTACAATAACCCAGTTACAAGCTCTTCTGGGTCACCCTTTTGATGTTAAAATTCAGCTAGGGTGAATCCTGGCCATGAAGGAAGAGGGAAAAGGAATTTCTAAGAACCACAGCCCTCTGGCCCAAACGTGCTGACTCCCCCTGAGACCTTAATGTCCTGGTGAAAAGCAGTGCTTGTTAGATGAGTATCTTATCATAAATATTTGGATTACACCTGGTGTTTCTGCAGAACTCCTATCTCTGTCAGATCTCATGTGGTCGCCTTTTTACTGGTACTCTGTTGGGTGTATAACTTCATGTGAGCAGAGATGTTTTTCTGCTCAGTAGCTACACGTGGTACCACCATCCTCTGGCGAACTCCTTGGCTCTTCATATCCTCTGCAGTCCCCGTGCCATGGCCCTTTTCCAGTGTTCAAAGTGCAGGAGCAGAGAAGAGCTTCCAGCCCCCCTGTTTCTTTCTGTTGGGTGGAGAGCTGCCGAGTTCACTCAATCCTCATCTGATTTCAGCAGAAACAATCAAGCCATCTGAATTCGGCTGTGGCAGTATTGGCAAGCTGGTGGCTGATCTGTGTTATTCTTCATATTTTACAGTATATTTCTAAGAATGTTTCTGCCACCGAGCATGTGATCCGAAGGGAAACAGAGACGACCTTTTCGGGAAGTCACTCCTGCTCCCCATCTCATCACTGCTCCACAGCCACTCCAACGTCCAGCCAGAGGTGATGTATACCATTATTCCCCTGAACTTTCTCCTGCTGTTTTCCTTAGGATGCTGTGAGATTCAAAGCCAGTGAAAGGTTTTCCTTTCATCTCCCTTTCTGTTTTTACTTGATGTTTGGCACCACACTGGGATACAGGCCATGCTGACACTGCGGGTCTTTGTGGGCACAGCTAGTTAGTGAGAGGTGTGGAAAGGTGTGATCCTCAAACTGCAATGAGGTGCCAGCAGGAACGTGCAGTAATGACGTAGCTGGAAACTAGGAGGAAATTAAGTTTTGCTTTCATGCTTTGAACAGACACAAACAGGAGGATGCATCTAAGAAAGGTTTTGCAAGTTGTGTTTGTAACCACACTGGACACCTGTAATAATTCATTAAGCACACACAGGTTATTTGTTTCATGCTTGATATATATAGAATGTATTTGCTTTGTGGAAGGCAAAGTACACAAAATATCACAAAATGTTTTGTCCAGTTCCTCAAAGTTAGGGTCTGACTTGGGAGTCATAGTTTTTTACCAGAAAAAAATGCTCGTGTGCAATTTATCTCAGTCCAGAAACTTATGTTAGAATCTCAGCCTCTGTGGTGGTGGCACCTCTTTCACCGGAAATCTTTCTGAAGTTCTCAGGAACACTGAGGCTATCAGGAAAGTACCAATAATTCTTGCTACACAAGATGAGGCTTTTTTTTTTTTTTTTTAACATTTCAAAATAACCATCAGGGGAAGAGCAACATGTCTCAGAAGCTGAAGTCCTCATGGGTTTTGAGTGCATTTAAATTGCTGATGGAGCTTCCCTATTTTTATGACATCTGGAAAAGTCCTTTAAATGCTCTAGAGAAAGTCCTGTGCTGTTTTGGGTTTGGATTTTCAGGTGCCTTCTCTTGTGCTTCTTCCAATGACAGTGTTTCTCTAGGAGAAACTTGCCTTTGAAAAGTGACTGTGAGGTACAGGGGGGGCATATCTACAGCCTGACAATGACGTATAGATCACACTGCATTGACTTCACAAAGCAAAAGATGTCCTGGCTTACTTACTTCATTAGCCTGATGTCTCCATTCATCCAGGGAGCAATGAATCCTTTCAGCTAAAGCTCAAAGATGGCTCCTGGCAGGTTTCTTCAAGGTTCGGCCATTCATCAGGGATGAGCTTGCATTCTTAGTGTACAATGCATCAGATCAACTTCAGATATTGAACTTAGGATTCCAGGTGAATTCCATCCCAGACTTCTCTGGCTAGAACTCAAACAAGTAGACAGGGAGCCAAGAATGGCTTGCTGGGGATGACTGCATTTGTCCGGGAAAATCCTACCCCTGGTGAGCCACACAGTGTTTTCCCGGTGTTTTTGAATGTGTATGCTGCAGGCCAACCCTGGCTGGGTGTGTGCAGGCTTGGGCCAGGGCACAGAGCCTCCTGTGCCTGTGGAGCTGCACCTTGCCAGCCTTCTGTGCTCACCTCAAAGTCCTGGGACTGAAGGGCCATCTCTGGGCACCTCCTGAAGAGGAAAAGGTGTGTCTGGAGGGCAGCATTAACACACCGCAGCTGTGGGGAGGCACCTACCTTGCATAGCCTCTGGTCCTGGCTACCTGCCACCTAATCTTCCTGAGTCAAGTGCAGCAAGCAGGTGTTTCTTGAAGTCATGCCAGAGGCGAACTACTGGCATAATCAGGCTCCATTTTACTTGATCAGTACCTCTAATGAGGACACCGTTTGAAACTATAAACGAGGGGTTGCAGCCAAGCATGTGCCTGAAGCCATCAACAATTAAAAAGTTCTTGGGAAGTCTTAATGAGGCCTGCTCTCCTCTGCAAACCCCCACCCAAAATCCTCTGCTGGCACACATCCATCTGGTGCAGTTTGGGAGATCAGAGCTGTTGCTCTAATGGATCCCGTATTTCTGCCACGGAGGGGGCCCAGCCTGGTGGCCGTGGTGCAGGTGGGCCCCTGCTGTGTGCATGGCCCCCTGTGTCCCTGGTAGGTCCTTGTGGGATGTCTTCTTTGCACCAAGACTAGGGCAGGTGGAGGTCCAAGTGCTCAGCCAAGGTATAGACATAGGTTTTGTCTAGCACCCTGAAAGCGTTTTGCTGCCAAAATCTTTTGTAAAACAATGGAAACTGAGCATCTAGATCTACCTTCGGTATGCTTTTCTCTGCTGATGTCAAAGTAATTTTGAGTGCGTTTTGAGTGCATTACCGAAGGGGCTGTCACTTGGCAGTGCAGATGGCACATTTGAAGATCCTTTGTGGACTTGCCTTGGCATAGCCAGTGCTTTGTTCCGCTCCCAGAACACTTTGCAAGCACAAAGCAGAATTTCCCTGGCCTCCTTCCAGAGGCTGTCCCATCCTGTCCCTAGACGCCAGGAGGTGGTGTGATAAATACCTGTTATGCACTGGTTTGCCTTTCTTTACCCTCTGATTGTATCTCTAAGAAGTAGCAAAGAAAGTCAAATCAAAGGCAAGGGTGGGAAGTTGGGCATCCCTGGTCAGATGTATCCTAGTGAGAGAGAGAAAGGGGACTCCAGTGCAGAGCAGATTGTGAGCTGTGCCTGGATGCAGCTCTCTGGAGAAGACATTGGTGGGAATTCCTTGCTCACTGCCTATATGGGGTTTGGTCCACAGACATGAAAGCCACACCTGGAGCTTGGAGCGGACAGAGAGTCTGACTTCAGATTCCCAGTCTGGGATAATGCTGTCCTCGGTGGGAACCAGTAAATGCAACAGCCCTGCATGCGTGGAGGCACGGGCTCGCCGTGGGGCCGCCTTCTGCATCGAGGACTCGCGGAGGCCCATGACACAATATCGTGACTCAGTGGATTCTCTGCGGGACTCACCGCACAGCGAGAGGTCAGACCCCACTGCGTGGTGCCGCCCTGGCACAGCAGAGGCGAGCTATGCCCTCTGGGCCACACACTAAAATGCCTTTGCCCAGCCCTAGAGCAGCAGTCCTGTAGTAGCACTGGAGAAATTCTAACTCTGGTCCTACCAGAGGAAGCCACTACTCCAGGAGGCCACTCTGGTAGGAGCAGCAGCAAGCACCGCACCCTGCTCATTTGGTGGCAATGTAGGTTTGGTGCACGGGGATGAGAGGAGCAGAAAATACCTGGCTGCAGTCAGCAACTGGCAAAGAAAAACTCCTGAGAGCACACCCTGTGCAGCTTGGTGGGCTGGCAGCTTAAGCATGGTCTGGCCCTCAAATATATGGGGAAAAGATCTGCGTCCTCAGTGTTGTCCTGGGTGGCAAGGTGAGCAGGGGTGCTCTATGTGGGCACAGCCTTGGGAGAAGGCTCTGTGTGACCCAGCCTTCTGGAGAACACAACTGTGGAGCTGAGACACCATCAGCCAGTGAGAGGCAGCCAAGGCTGGTTCCTTATGGCACAGAAACACATCTCCACCCTTGCTTCAGCCCTTTGTGCGTAGCTGTGGGTGACCCTGGTTGGCCACTTTCAGGCAGTTACCCTTCAAGGCAGTGGGATGTGTCCATGGGGCAGCATTTCCTGCTCTTTCATTCCATTCTCCAGTCCATTCAGGCAGGCTGACCCAGCTTGTACAGATGTCTCATACTTCACAAGACACACAGGTAAAAAGGCACCAGATGAGCAAGGGAGCCTGGGCAGCTTGAAAGGAGCGGGGACACCAATTGGCAAATCTTGACTCAGCCTGCTGGGAGATGCTGCAAGGTTTGCAGTGATGCAGGGTGAGAATTGCCCACTGAGACCCTCAGGAGAGGCAGTCCTGGGGTGCACAGTGCATGGTGCCCAAGCACTCACTGAAGCCAGCAGTTCATGCTCCCTCAGCACAGCAGTGCAAGGTCCCTCCACCTGGTTTCCCATGAGATGCCGAGCTCCAGGACCAGGTGCACTGGAGCCCTCATGGGTCCCTGCGCCGGTGTTCAGCAGAGCACGGGCACATCTGGAGGTTTTTGGGGTTGTTCAGTGTCTAAACAGAGGTGTTGCTTTTTTCAGGTACGTGTCAGCCCTGACCACACCAGCACGCCTGTCGCCTGTTGACTTCCACTACTCAATGGCCACGCAGGTGCCCACCTTTGAGATCACCTCCCCCAACTCAGCGCATGCCGTATCCCTGCCGCCGGCGGCCCCCATCAGCTTCCGTGTGGAGGAACAGCAGCCCCTTCTACGGCGGTACCAGCTCCCCTTCCAGGACACGCAGAGGTACGACAGCTACTACCAAAGGAAGACCTACCTAAATGACAGCATGGGGAGCCTGCCCTCCAGCCCCTTCCGCATCACGGAGGACGACGAGTACGAGACGACGCAGGAGTATGTCACAGCGCTAGAGCAGCCAAAGAAAACAGCCAGCAGCAACAGGCGGTGGAAAAAATCCAAACTGAATGGGCACATCCCTCACAGAGCCAGAGCCGTCCGGGACTCCTTCTCCTTGAGCAGCGCCTCTTACAGCGAGTCTGACGAGGAGCTGGTGGCCGAGAGCACCCCGTTCCTAAGCACTCAGAACAATGAGGCAGTGCACACAGAGTCGCCGCCGCTCCACCGGCCAGGCGACAGCCGGACTCACTACTCCTGCAGCAGACACAGCACTCACGGGGAGAGTGGGCCCAGCAGCCTGGCGCATACAACACCCAAACCGGACCCAGATCCTCTCTAGGCGCCTCTCAGACTCACGCGCCCACAGACGTAACCCGCATGGAGGAGGCTGAGGAGGGAGACGAGACAAAACAAAACAAAAATAAATATTTTTATTTTATATAAAAGAGGGAAAAAATATAACAAATAAAATGTTTTATTTTCATTTTAGCAAAGTTGTCTTATAATAGCTAACGACAATGACTTTTTTATAGGGAAACTCTATTTATATGTAATGTCTTGATTTACAGCTTCCGAGAAAAAAGAATAAAAAAAAAAAAAAAAAAGAAAAGAAAACAATAAAGTTTAAAAAAAGTGGGCCAATTTTTGACTACTTAAAAATAGAAAACAAAACTATCGTGGTGCCTTTTGCTGTATGCTAGTGCTGGGATTCATGCCGAGGATTCTGTTTCAGTAGCATTTTTAAGATCATAGATTTTTGTTTGGGAGACATCCTGTCACAAGGGCGCTCTTCTGTTGGAAGAAAACAGCCTCGCCACTTTGCCCCGTACCCTGCTATTAATGATGTTATTCTTTAAGGTATCATTTAAACATACATCAAGGACATGAGTGGGAGCATTTCCATTATCATGTCTAATGGGGATCTGTCTTGCCCTGTAAAATACTTGTACTTAAATCAGGAGTAAAAGAAACCCAACAGCACCATACTGAAATGCAGAAATAATGTTTCTTTTGCCACACAGGTAGGAAGAGAAAATGAAATCACACAGCAGCAGCAGCCCTTACAATATAGCTCTCAACCTTTGGCCATTTCACTTGTGGGTCTGAAGTTGGGTTGTCAGAGGTTTGGAGTCAAGGCAGACACCCGTAGGAATGTGGTGAAATAATACCCTGCTAGGTATACGGTTGAATCAGTTCACTGAAGCCAGCCCTGGCAGGCAGACGGCACTACATGGTGGTCCCACCAGAGCGGTCTCCATTGCCATACTGGTGCCGTGCTGGCCGCGGCATCACCTTGACCAAGCAGCGTAGCTGCGGCGCGGCGTTGGCCATGGTGCCGTGTGCCATGATGCTGTAGGGCTGCTGGGGCCGTGGTGTCCCATGTGCCATGCTTGGCCATGGCTCTGGCAGTGCTGGGAGGACGCCCAGAGGGCTGCCCCGCCGTGCAGCGTGGCTGCGCCTTGCCCTGGATGCTGTACCAGGTGGCTGCCAGCCACTCTGCCTCAGGGTTTGATGGGAGTCTGACTGAGCACTTCTGGCCCCCCTTGTCACCCCTGCGTTGGCCGGGAAGGGCCCTGTGTGGGGCAACCCAGGGAGCGGATTCTTCTGTACTGCTGTGCCATATATTGTAAAGACAGTTGTTACCGTCACGTCTTGCTATTGATGATGGACGTTGTGTTTCCAAACTCGGAGCGGCTCTGGCCATCAGCTCTGTGGCTCAAAGAGACAGTCCTGCGTGTCCAGGCAGCAGAGCATCCCCCATGGAAGTGCCCCTCTCTCCTCAGTTCTCTGCAGCAAACCTGTTTACATTGTAGCCTGACTTTTTTCTTTTTATATTTTTACTTCTGCATGTCCTTTGCATTTCAGATACTGTAGATTGGATGCATGGTGAAGCTGTGACTGAGAAGATAATACAACAATTGACAGTGTATTTCATTTAACTTTTAGCAATAAAGTAACTAAACCCTCTATTCCTCACCCATGATGGGGTCAGATAGAAAACTCTGCTAATTTGTCATAAGATGATTGTCAAAGTTTGCTCTGGATTGTCTGAATGTCAGAACTCTCGACTGTTTAACACTTGAACATTTTTTATATTATAAATAAAATAAGAAAGAACAAGTTGTGGGTCCATTAATGTCAGGCAATCTGAGGGTCAGATGGGGAGCTGTGACAGGTACCATACACAGACAGGTTGAGGTTGGAATAGACTTGTGGAGGTCAACTGGTCCAACTCCTCTGCTCAACCAGCTCACGCAGAGCCAGTTGCCCAGGACTCTGCCTAGTCAGGTTTTGAATATCCCCAGGGATGGCAACACCACAACTTCTCTGGGCAATGTCTGCCAGTGCTTGGTCACCCTCAAACCAAAAAAAGTGTCTTCTTCTGTTCAGACTAAATTTCCTTTTCTCTAGTTTGTGCTTATTGCTGCTTGTCCTGTCACTGGACACTACAGGGAAGAGTCTGGCTCCCTCTTCTTCATTGCCTCCCATCATGTATTTATACACATGGATAAGGTCTCCCTGAGCATTCTCTTCTCCAGGATGGACAATCCCAGCTCTCTCAGCCTCTCCTCATATGAATGATGCTCTGGTTCTGTAAACGTCTTTCTGCCTGTAGAGATCCAGAGGCAGGTGTTTTTCTACGTGGCATAGACATTTGACCTTCACTGCAGGGCTCAGGAGTTGAGGCTTACTGAGGTGAATGGATGTTACCGGCGAGTTTCCGGGGGGAATGCCATTCTTTCTCCACCTGCAGACCTGGAGTTCCCCCTTCACCCTACCTGTGAAAGCTTTTTGTTCTGTCAAGAAAGGCCAAGATGCATGGCAGGTGCTTCACATGCTGGCACTGATTTCAGTGATTTTTGCAGTATAATGGACATATGTTGGGTCCAATGCTGCAAGTGCTGTGCTGCCGTGCAACATCTACCCACCTACAAAATAGGTCCGTTCTTCAGCTCTTCCACGGCAGGTCTGTGTCTCTGGCTAGCCCCCATGTAGGAGAATCACCGAGAATATGGTACATTCACAGGAAGCACAGTTTTTGAGGCTTAGTCCAGCTTGGGCCCCAATCACTCATTCCTGCTCAGTGACGAACTGGTGTGCAAAAGTCCCAGCTGAACTCACATGGTAGAAGAGGGATCTACTACACACCTGTCTGACGCGACTCCGTAGGAACGCACAGAGCCATGAGAGAAGTCGTCCATGCTGAAGTCCAGGCTAAGCACACCCACAGTCGACTGCTTCTGCCCCAACAAACACCCTCAGGATGTCCACTGCCTCGGAGCTGACCTGACTGGTCACAGGCCACCCCTAACATCCATCACATATGCTGTGGGAACTCCAGTCAGAACAGAGGGCTCAGCACTTCACCCTAAATAAAGGCATCTCAACAGTGATTTCCTAAAATGTTAGACTAAAGGATTCTGCCCTCCTGGCAAGGGGCCCATGTGATGGAACAGTAATATGCAAAGGAGTTCTTAAATGTCTAGGACTGGACATAAATGTGCTAGGGTCAAGTCATGATTTGGTTGACATTTGCTGTGTAACCTTTTGGCACATCATGCCCCACTTCTGCACAGCTCCAAGCCCTACTGGCTGAAAGCAGCAGTACCATGCAGCTCTCCACCCTTCCTTTACTCTTGGGACAAGCTGTGACCCCATTGCCTTTAGTCCCCCAACTTATCTCCTTCAGCAGCTCCTGGAGTGTGGTGAGATGGATAGGAAAGGGCAGAGGGACACATGTAGGAGATCACTGAGGGGAAGGATCCCTGGGGAATCCAGCCACATAGAGAAGAGAGATGGGGAGCCTTTGGGTTCCCAAAGTCACCCCATCTCCCTGCCTGTCACCTCAGCATCTGTGAACAGGTGAGCTCTGTTCATGGAGAAGTGACCCCAGGGCTGGCACAGCAGCATCTGCATTGCAAGAAGGCTGCTGCTCTAGGGCCTCCTGTTGCTGCGCTCTGGGCTGGGGTGCAGAGCGATGATGTGGCCAAATTTTGGGGTGTGCTCAGTGCAGCTGACCCACACCAGGCATCAGCATCACGGTCTGCTCTCTGGGTCCCTCCGCAGAAGGAGCTGCAGGTTTGCCCAGCCCTGCCCTATACAGGTGGATGTTTTACAGCTCTATGGTTTGCAGGTATCTGTGATGCTCTGCATCTGCTGAGACATGGCAGCCTCATAATTTCTTGTGGTGATTTCTTGTTCAACATGCCCCTTGATTCCCATAATTGTGTTCTATATTGGGAGGCAGTTACACCACTTCAATTTTCTCTCCAATTGCCTGTCTCTCTCTCCTTTTTCACTGGCTGGTTTATTTTTAGACCACTCATTTCCAGCCATGTGCACTCGTAGGCTTTGGCCGTAAATATTTTACATCAATTTTCACGGGTTGGGGGAGCCACCAAAGCCTCCTGCCAGCTCTGCTCTGCATGTATGATGCCTTTGCCACCCTTCCCAGAGGAGAGGGATTGCTCTGCTGACACAGGTGGGGTGATGCACACAGGAGAGGAGTGTCACATCCTGCCTCCCCCTAAAAAAAAGTCCCTCTATTTTAATTTGATGTCAGGTTGTGTCCAGGAGAAGGGGCCTGGCAGGAAGGTCAGGCTGAACCAGCACCATCAGGGGATGCTATCTGAGACCCCAAGCAGCTGTGCTGCCTGCTATAGGGCCTGGCACAGGCTGGGGCTGTGACAGAAAGTGCATTTTGGTAATTCCAGGGGGAGAAGAAGATATGTCTGCCTAATTCCTCTGAGATGCTGCTTTTTCTCTCTTAGTGGTGGATGGCTGAGTTCTTCACCTCCAGGTAAGGAAAGAGGGAGAAAAAAAGCATTTTCTTCCTGGTCACAAGCCGAGGCTGCAGGTTGGTCAAACAAGGCATTTTTGGGTGCTCTCAGTGCCCTCTTGTAGGTAAGATACTCACCAGATCTGAACATGCATATGCACCCAGATCAGTAGTTTCGCATCAGGGCAACCTGCTGATTGTCAGTAAGTGCAAGTTTAACCCTTTTAGCTGTTTTGCTGAGGGATGTTTAATGCCAGCTGCCACTTCTTTCCATATCTATCGGGCGGTGAGTGTCATGGCTCTGAGGCTCCTTCCTGGTGCCCAGAGGAGACTTTTCAAGATCCTGCTTTTTCCTGCAACTTACTCTCAACTGAGGATGGCAGACTGGCCCCTTTAATCTGGGGGACTGAGCTGCTCTTGATGGCTTCCTTAAACACACTGGAGATATCAGTGCCTGCTGGAGAGGGTGGTCAGAAAGGACAGGATGAGGTACAAAAAATTAACTGGGATTTTGGAGAGCAAGAGTCAGGCCTGGCTTTCCTACGGGCTTCCACTCTGTAAGTCTGGGCACCAGATGATTCATGTGAGTAGCAGCACTTTGGAGGTCTTCAGTGCAAGGGGTGCCTGCACAGTACCTGACACAGAAAAGCACATGATGCCTTGGAGAAGCAACCATGACACTCAGCGTAGCCACAGGCTCCTCTGGGAACAGTTTCCAGAACACCTGCAACCACCAATGCAGATGTTGGTACCTTACTCCTCCTCTAGGCTGCATGTGGACAGATGGACCTGGGATGCACTAGACAGAGGGAAGAGTTACCTGAATGTGTTCCCAAAGCAGCCCATCTGGCCACACCTGCTCCATGGGCCAGCCATCTGTCCAAAACATGGGCAGCCAGTGCTTTCAGCTCCCATGAGGATGGGTGGGCATGTGGAAAGGCACTGTGATTTTCTGGTGCTGTCTGTCCTTAGAAAACTGGCTTTCATGTGGCAGGCGCTGGTGGAGATCTGTGTCAGCCTGGCCACCTAGGGCTGTGAAATCTGGGACCAATCCAGCACACAGTAGAACTGTACTTTAGACCAATTCTCTTTACCAACAGATTCAGCTTTATTGTTATTCTTTTTTACATGATTCTTAGTGCATCAGTTCAAATAAACTATCAAACTGTACAAAAAAACAGAGATAAAAGAAGAGGTGACAAAGTTGGGCAGAGGTTTTTAGTGTCATGAACCATCATGGAAAACAGTAGTCCGTAGGCTCTCGAACATTAAAGGTCCAAATAAATCTTACTTTGTTTTAAAAAATGCTGCAAAATATAAACAATAAATGACTAATTAGCAGCTACAAGATCCTGCAAAACTGGAACTTGATTACTGTGAATGCACCTAGGGGAAAGAAAAGCAATCTGAGCTAAAGGACAAAACCAAACAGTGAAATAAATAAATAAAGTGTGGGAGTACAGTAGCGGCATTGAAATGCAGAGGAATCACTTCTAGCACAACAGTAAATCATTGGACCACAGACAGCAGAAAGGAACAGAAACATAATTCCCTGCTTAAAAGACTATAGTATGTGCATTGCAAAATGGAGGAAGTACAACATTGATGGGCAGGTCGAGGTGCTCCTGCACACAAAGGTTCAGCTGAATACAAAGCACAGCTCCAATTGTGCCTCGAACCCTAAGTGATGGATGCCATGGATGCTAAATAAGCAGCCACTTGGCCAGTTTGTCTGAACAAGCAGGAACAGGAGAGTGATGTTTCATAGCAAAGCCAGGTGGGATTTCCATTCGCTTAATAAAAAAAGGAGAAAAAAAAAAGATACATAGGCTACTGCGTTTTTTTAAAACATCCTGGTGGGCTGGTCAGACCCTCCACGGTCCCTAGTGTCTTCCCCAGGCAGCTTGCCTTCACTTGCACACTGAGGTTAAAAACCCACATTAACGTTTCCTTATATATATATTTATTTATATATATTCATATGTATATGTATATATATATATAAAAAGGATAAGGTGACAAGAGGGCACCTCTCCTGCTGCGGACAGATGACATTCCCACATGCTGTGCTGAAGACACCTCTCGGTTGGTGACTAGCTCATGACACCCATCCTATCCCGATGTGTTGAACGGTGCTCCTCTGGGTGGAGGGACGTGCTCCCTGCCACGCTGTGCCCTTGTCTGGGAGTGCTGGTGGTGCCACAGACTGTTGTCTCGGCTGAGTTTCCTGCACTGCCTGGAATTGTGGACATGAACTAGTGGGGACTCCAGGGAGAGAAGGAGGAGGAGAGAGAGGGCTGGTGGAGGAAAGAGCAACTTGGCATATCCCTTTGTTGTGCAGG